AAGAAGTTGTCATCCATAGAGCTTTAATTCTTCAACACTACTTTGCTCAATTGTGTGAGCTTTCATTCTTGTGTTGTAAACTCAATCTCATTTGAGTGTTGTTCTTAAGACTTGTGTGACTCAAGTCTTGTTGTTGTAAGAAAGTGAGGCTTGTGTGATTCAAGTTCTCAAGTTGTACCGGTTTTTCAAGCACCCGTTGAAGCTTGAAGATTAGTAGGACTTTCGAGAGAGTCTCTCGGAGGACTGGACTAGCCACGAGGTGGTGAACCAGTATAAATCTCGGTGTTCTTCTTTCCCTTACTCTCTTTATTTATTCCTGCGATTTTATTATTTCACACACGCGAAAAACGCACATTCTTGAAAACAACTCTATTCACCCCCCTCTAGAGTTGCACATTTGTCTAACAAGGACTTTTCTAAGATTTTGGACTCCATTCACAAAAATCTAAAGGGGATTTTCATAAGCTCGACCCTGGTGGGTCTAGCCAGGGGCTCTGCACCTTGGACCCCGCTAATGGCTGCTAGCCCCAGACCCTTGCTTCCCGAGGGCTTCTGCCCCCTGACCCCTATATATGAATTTGTAATATTCATTGAACGAGTGCGCACTTCACACCTCCTAACTCCTTTAACATTGTCTGTTCAAATAATTCTTGTCTGATTTAAGTAAACTCCAATCACACAAAATTTCCGATGACACTAAAATCGCCAACACAGAATTGATCTAAATTAATCAAAAAAAGAAAAAAAAATCAAAAGAAAGATAATGGGAAGCTGAGTTGTACTGTTGGAATGTAATATGGAGGAGGAATGCCGCGGTGCAGCGTTTACAAAGACGAAGAAGAATAACTTGATAGAGTATAACGAATCGCGTAGAATGATTTCTGATCAAAGTTATTGTGTGGTATACAAAATACTTTAATCAGATGATAGGTTCATCAAGAACAAGCATTTAAAACTGGATTCCTCAACCATACCTGCGAGACTCTATTTATAGAGTCAAAAATTGATGATCACAATGAATGTTCGCGTTATACGTGAACGTTCGCGCGAGGAGATAAAGCCTGGAAAAAAAACAAAAGTTTGCTTAAGGAGACAAATGATTCCGCGAAAGGATACTTGCGGTTTTAGGGTTATTTTGGTATTTATCCACACATCCAAATCTTTTAACGTTTTGGACTCTGTTAACGAAAAAATGAAAGATTTTCATAAAGAAATAACGTCCAAAATAATAAGGTTTTTTAGGCTGACCCCAGCCACAGGATGTACCCCTTGGACCCCGCTACCCGGGGGCTACCGCCCTCGGACTCCTGCTATGAATTTGTAATATCGTTGAACGACTGTGCACTCCGCGCCTCCTAACTCGCTAGACTAAGTCTATTACAATTCTCGACTGATCTAAGTAAATCTAATTATACAAAATAGCCGATGACACAAAAATCACCAACATGTACGTGACAGTGCGTGTTACAACTCACATGCATGGTATGGAGAGCTATGTGGTATTGTATTGCAGCTTCCTTGCTTCTCACATTAATTGTTTATTCATTGACTATTTAATAACCACAGAGTAACGATCTTTGTGTGTGAGTTTTACACACTACTAAGGTAGAGGGAGAGAGAGAGAGAAACAAGGAGGGGCATAAGAATACCACCAGGAAAACCTAAGGGGTCTTTCACTCCTACAAAAATTACCTTTTAATTCAGTTATTTTTGACTTTTTGAATCGGTTCATAACCGATGCAAAAGGTTGCAATGCAATTGGTGTAAAAAAATTTTGCATCGGTTTTTGAACTAATGCAAAAAGTCCTACATGAGTACATAATTCACACAGTGCTAGAGGCTTTTGAATCGAGTTTTTTTACTAATAATCGATTCAAAAGGTGCTTCCTAGAAGTGGCGACAATTCTAAAAAGTTCTATTTGAATCGGTTACTATTAAACAATCAGTTCAAAAGGTGGTTCCCAGAATTGGCGCCACTTCTGGGAAGCACCTTTCAAACAATGCCAACACCTGTTTCAAACGTGTAAATTGTGTACAACCAAGATACAATGACCATTTTGAGTTTCCTATTAACCCCTCTTACATATATACTACGCTCTTCATCGATGGCATTTTGATCAGGGCGAACACCTTGAGTACACCCTAACTCATCTTCCATTTCAGCCTCAAAACTCTAGATATCGCCAATATCAACTTCTACTTGTTCGTTATAAGTATAGCTAGAGTTACCAACATTCTCCATGCCATTTCCATTGCTTATACATTGGGTCAAAACTCTTGCGATACACATAGAATCTTATATCCTTAACGCTATCAACCATAAAATGGTTATGACATAAGTTACAAGAGCAATATATCTTCTCCCTCTTTTGAAAGTTTTCCTACAAAACGAATAAACTCTCTCATACCAGAACAACATTCAAGTAATGTCTGTGGCATAACAATCCATTTTCGATCCATCATATATATTACTAGGAAACAGATGAACAAATCAAATGGTTGGATACAAAACAATGCAAAAACATAATTAACACTCATTTCACATACACACACACATAACAAATACATGCAACACTATACTTAATTTCTTTTGATGCAACAAAAATCTAGCAGCATTTTTTCATTATATAAATGCTCTTTCTTTATTTCATCCTAACACATTCTTGAAATGTCACCCTCACTAGTGAATGCATTCCATTTTCTTTGATCCATCAAAGTTTTGGTAGCATTTTCCAATGGTTACTCAAGTGGATGATGTAATGTAGTTACATATGCACTCGAAGAATGCATTTGGAAAAAGCCATGCCAA